TGTTGTGATTTTTCAAACTCTCTATTGTATAGCACAGTCCTTGTGTGGCGCTCTGGTAGTATAGTGGTTAACAATCAGGCTGCTAACCTCAAGGTCAGCAGTTCAAAACTGCCAGCTGTTCTGTGGGAGAAAGATGAGGCTTTCTGCTCCCGTAAAGATTTACAGCCTCAGAAACCCTGTTCAGGGTCACTATGAGTTGGAACCGACTCCACGGTACTTAATTCCAACATTGAACAGCACAAAGGAGTTCTGGTATCTTAGAGTCAGGCTGCTAACCTAAAGGCTAGCAGTTAGAAACTACCAGCTATTCCATGGGAGAAAGATGAGGCTTTCTGCTCCCGTAAAGAATTACCGCCTCAGAAACCCTATACAAGGTTGCTAGGAGTCGTAACCAACTCCACAGCACAGCACAGCACCATCACCACCACCGCCACCACCACCATCATTGAAGAGCAGGGAGCTGGACTGTAGGACCCAGTTCTCAACAGCAGAGGGCACCCTGCTTCCAATGGGCTAACCTGGCTGTAGTCCAGTTCTGTAGTCGGAAGCCGAAGTGTCCCTGATAATGGGAAAGAGCCACAAAAATTCTCTAAGTTATTATTTTGGAAAGGAGGTATCACTGCATGTTTCCAGCCGTTTAGTATTTAGATGAACCACTCAGAAAGTAGAATATTTTGACATTCTAAGGATTCTCCATGTAATTCTGTAAAGAGTTTCATCAACTCTCCATACCTCATTTATTCCCTCTAAGTAATCCATGCTTAAAGCAACAACAACAACAAAGCCAGTAGCACTGTGCTCCATAGGGTCTTCAGTGGAAGTAGATTGCCAGGTCCTTCTTCTGAGATGCCATTGGATAGATAGACTCAACTCTGTAACCTTTTGGTTAGCAGCTGAGCATATTAATCATTTGTACACTCAGGGACTCCTATATGTATAGATTGGTGGTGTTCTTAGTAGCTGTCAGATTACCATCTGACTCATGGTGACCCCATATACCACGGGATTGGACTGTTGTGAATTTTTGGAAGTAGATTACCAGGCTTTTCTTCCTATTCTGTCTTACTCTGGAAACTCCACTGAAACCTGTTCAGTGTCAGAGAAATGCACAAGCCTCCACTGATAACAAGTAGTGGTGGTTTGTAAGGTTTATTGACTAGTAATTGAATCTGTGGGTCTCCCACTTGGAGGTGAGAATTCTACCACGGAGTCACTGCTGCCCCTTCTATATTGTTGTTGTAGTTAGATACTATTGGGACATTTCTGACCCACAGGGACATTCTGCACAGTAGAGTGCAACACTGCCTTATCCTGCACCAACCTCACAATTGTTGTTAGACTTGAACCCATTGCTGCTGCCACTGTGCCAGCCCATCTTGTTAGGGGGTCTTCCTCTTTTTCTCCGACCCTTCCCTCCCTTTCCCAAACATGATATCTTTCTCCAGGGTCTGGTCCCTCCTGACAACATGTCCAAAGTATGAGAGATGAAGTCAGGCCATCCTGGCTTCCAAGGAGCATTCTGGCTGCACTTCTTCCAAAAGTACCATGGCATTCCATGGTACTTTCAATATTCTCTTCCAACACCGTAACTCAAATACATCAATTCTTCTATGATCTTCCTTACTCACTGTCCAAATTTCACTTGCATATGAAGTTATTGAAATACCTTAGTCCTCAAACTGACATCTTTGCTCTTCAACACTTTAAAGTGTTATATACACACACACATATATATATGTCAGGTTGCTATGAGTTGGAACTGACTTAACGGAACTTAACCACATATATATGTTATGGAGGCCTGTTTTAGCCTGTAGGATAAGCACTGGACTGCAAGATCGAATTGAACTGCAAGGTCCGTGATCCAAACGCACCAGCCACTCCTTGAAAACCGTATACAGAGTCGCTATGAGTTGGGACCTACTCAACAGCACTAATCAACAACATATATGTAATGGACATGTAACATATATGCTGTTGTTAAGTGGCATTGAGTGGATTCCGACTCATAACAACCCTCTGTAGAGTTTCCAAGGAGCCACTGGTGAGTTTGAACTACCGAATTTGGGTTCAAACTGACCTTTCAGTACAGTGCTTTATCCCATAGTGCTATACATACATATATACATATTGTTATTATGTTGTTAAGGGCCATCAAGTCAATTCTGACTTAGCGACCCTGTATAGGGTTTCTGAGGAGCGGCAGATGAGTTTGAACTATCACCCTTGCAGTTCAAACTGACCTTGTTGTCCAATGCTTATCCTGTAGTACCACACCAGGACTCCCATGCATACCCATATTTCCAAATTTGAAACCTCCACACTGAATTATTGAAATGTGTATCTCTATGGGCTGCTTTTAAAGGTTATAGCTACATCTCATTTTACAAGGAGGGTAGGCCCTAATGTCAGTGCAAAGGATGAAACTCACTGGCAGTATCATCTTTGAGAATCTCTTGGGAAAGCACTTTGTTATAGAGCGCTGCCTTTCACTAAGTCCTCCACAACCAGCCTTAGGAATCTTACCCGCTGCCACTACTCAGTTATCAGTGGAGGAAGCTTGAGTGTTGCTTTGACATTGAACAGGTGCCAGTGGAGCTTCCAGACTAAAGTTCTTCCCACCCCCAGCCCCCCCTACACACACACTTTGAGGTTCAGATGCTATGGTTGGCTCTTATATTCAGGAACCACATTTGGTACTAATTCAGATCTTTAAACATCAGAGTCTTAGCATAGTGAGATGCTCACAGTCCTAGAGGTGTTGAGTAACCCAAACCAAGACAAGGCAAAGCAGATCGATCTCATTTGGGGTGATATACTAACTCAATGGGTTTACAGTTTTAGTATTCATCAGAATCATCTGGAGGCTTGTTTAAACACAGATTACTGTGCTCCACTCCCATAGTTTCTGATTCAGTAGGTCTTGGATGAACTCAGAGAATTTGCTTTCCTAACATGTTCTCTCTATCAAGTAATGCTCTGCTTTTCCCGGCCCTCACAAGGAGAACTACTGTACCAATTGAATGGAAGCAGGTGGGATCACTTGCCCAACTCCCCGTCACTGCCTGTTTCTCTTGCACACTTCTATCTTATGACTGGCTGTAGGTGAAGGAGCCATCGTGGCACTGTAGGATAAGCAATGGATTTCTAACCACAAAATAAGCAAATCAAACTTACCAACTTATGTGAGAGAAAGGTGAGGTTGTATGCTCCCATACAGATTTTATGGCCTTGGAAACAGGGTCACAGTGAGTCAGAATCAACTCTGTGGGATGTGATCTAGTTGACTTGTTATCGTTAAGTGCCTTCGACTTTGTTCCGATAGGGTTTCCAAGGAGCAACTGGTGAGCTTGAACCATTAATCTTGTAGTAAGCCATTCAATGTGTATTCTACAGTGCCACACGAGGACATTGTTATTGTTGTTAAGTGCCATTGAGTTGGTTCTGACTCACAGCGACCCTTATAGGGTTTTCAAGGAAGGGCTTTCAAACTTGAACCACTGACCTTGAGGCTCAAACTGACCTTGTAGTCCAGCATATTAACCTACTGTGCCACACCACGATGCCCATTTTAACATTACTATGTTTTAAAAGAGGTATTTTGATTTTATAATTGTATCTTTTCTCTTAGACTGAAGATCTTGACCACCACTAATGGAAACATTATTACTTATTTGCTTTATTTTACTTGCACAATATAAAGAAAATAATTTTAGACTAATAATATCATTATTGTTCCTAATTGCAAAACCAAATGAGATTTCAAGTATTCTTGTGATTATTTGTATAGAATAGGTTGATATGAATGAAATAATTAATTCAATTACTTTGTTGATTTAATTACTTTTAATTTCTTTTTTGTTTTGTTTTTATCACAGGTTGATCATTTTGGATTTGATATTGATAAAACTTTTAAACAGCGGTACCTGATAGCTGATAAATACTGGAAGAAAGATGGTGGCTCAATACTTTTCTATACTGGTAATGAAGGGGACATTATCTGGTTTTGCAATAATACGGTATGTATAGATTTGTTAGATTCTTCATTTAATAAATTCCTCATTCTTTCATTATAAGAAACTAAAAAAACTGATTTGCAGCATGCATGACCAAGTATTACTGCATTTAATTTTAGAACTCTATGTAAAAAACAAAAAGAGAAGCAAACAAGTAATAGAAAAATAATAAGCCCTTCTCAAAACAAATATAGATGTCCAGTGAACATTCATGTTCCACTTTAAAAGATTCCTAATGAAAAGAATGAAATACTATTTTTCGGACAATCAGAATTTAGAAAATTAAAGGTGAAAATCTTAGTTAATTTCTGGAGTGAATAAGGATGTAGGAAAATAGATACTCTGTAAAAGGTATCACAAAGCTGTCCATAATAATGGAAAAGTAAAAACTAAATGTTTAATCACATGGGAGTGAAAATAAAACCTAAATGATCACATGGGAATGAAAATGAAACCTAAATGCTTGATCATGTGGGAATGAAAATAAAACCTAAATGCTTGCTCACGTGGGAGTGGCTGAGTAATTTCAGGTGCATCCAGTGTAGTGTTTCCACTAGTGCGATTTTAGAGTTGTTCTGAAGTGCCGTGGAGTCTGTTCTGACTCATAGCAACCCTGTAGAGGGTTTCTGAGGAGCCACTGGTGGGTTTGAAGGTACCTTCCTTTGGCTAGCAGTCCATTGCTTATCCTACAGCTCCACACCAATACTTCAGTTTTATAGTTGTTATTGTTAAATGCTATCAAGTCGGTTCCATCTCATAGCAACCCTGTAGTAGAGAGTTTCTGAGGAGCGGCTGGTGAGTTTGCACTGCTGACCTTGTGGCCCAGTGCTTATCCTACGGCGCCACACCAGGACTCCCCTGTTAAAAAGAATTGTTGTTTTTAAGTGCCGTCGAGCTGGTTCCAACCCATAGTGACCCTGTACAGGGTTTCCAAGGAGTAGCTGATGAGCTTGAACCACTGACCTTTGGTTCAAACCGACCTGTGGGCCAGTGCATATGCTACGGCACCACACTAGGACTCCCTAGTTTTAGAATAGGGGTCCTCAGATTTGAATGAGGAGTTGTTTAAAGGAGGGAGAAACGTGTATAGGTTAGGATTGCCAGCATCACATTTTACACACTACTTTGGTCTGTTTGCATTCTCCACCAAGAGTTTCACTTTATTAGGCATGAGATGGGCTCAGGAATGTATCCCAGGTAATTCTATCAGAATTATCAGACAGTACTATAGAAGGGTGTATAGTAGCATTAGAAGATGGTCGTAATCTATTGTCAAGATCACAAAATATGTTACAAATGTATTTTTTGTCTTGTTTTGCTTAATACTGTCACCAGAAAAGACGGGAAGGACATATACCAAAATGTTAACCAGGGTCATATTAATGATAGGATTGTGGTTGATTTTATTACGGTATTTTTGCCCATTTGTGTTTCTTAAGTATTTAATTAGAGGTATATATTTTTTAACTCTTTCTCTGAATGCCACCTTAAAATTGAGCGCTTTATCATTGTGGCACTATGGGTTAATGTGCTGGACTGGAAAATCAGTTTGAACTGCAAGGGCAGCAGTTCAAGCTCACGAGCTGTTCCTATGAAACCCTAAACAGGTTTGCTCTGGAGTGGAACCAACTCTATGGCACTTAACAACAACACCACCAACAGCTACGTATTCTCTGCCTTCCTCTTTTCTATTTTATTGTTTTCCATAGCATGTAACCACTTATTTACTTATAAAAATACATTTTTATGACTTTTTATGACTTCTAAAACTACACAAACCCAGACCCGCTACCATCAAGTTGATTCCAACTCATAGTGATCCTACATAGGGTTTCTGAGGCTGTAAATCTTCACCAGAGCAGAAAAGCCTCATCTTTCTCCTGAGGTGCAGCTGGTGGGTTTGAACTGCTGACCTCATGGATAATAGTCTAGTCCATTGCTTATCCTACAGCACCACAAAGGCATAGATTAGTGTGGTTTGTTTAGTTCACTGTCTAGGACTACACTAGCATATGTTGTTGTTAATGTTAAGTGCTAGCAAGTCAGTTCCAATTTATAGGAGTCCTGGTGTGGCACAGTGGGTTAATCTGCAAAGCCCTTTGTACTGCAAGGTTGGTGGTTCAAGGTCACCAGCTGCTTCTCGAAAACCCTATACAGGGTCACTGTGGGTCGGAACCAACTCAACAGCACTTCACAACAACAATATAGGGTTCCAGATCTTCGCACATTTTATTGTAATATTTGGCTTTATCTTCTCGAGCTGATCTTTGAAATTTTCTATTCAGCTCTTGGACCTCCTCATTTCTTCCATTTTTATCATCTCTACACTGGAGAGCAAGTTTCAGAGTCTCTTCTGATATCCATTTTGACCTTTTCCTTCTTTCTTGTCTTCTTAACAACTTTTTGCTCTCTTCACATATGATGTTCTTGATATTCTCCCACAACTCTTTTGGTCTTTGGACTTTAGTGTTTAATGTATCAAATCTGTTCTTCAGATGATCTCTAAATTCAGGTGGGATATATTCAAGGTCCTATTTTGGCTCTCTTGGACTTGTTTTCATTTTCTTCAGCTTCAGTTTGAATTTGCATATGAGTGACTGATGGTCTGTTCCACAATCTGCCCCTGGTCTTGTTTTGACTGATGATATGGAGCTTTTCCATCATTTCTTTCTGTAGATGTAGTCAATTTGATTTCTATGTATTCCATCTGGTGAGGTCCATGTGTATAGTTATCTCTTAGGCTGTCTAAAGAAGGTATTTGAAATGAACAAATCATTGATTTTGCAGAATTTTATCATGTGTTCTTCAGCATCATTTCTATCACCAAGGCCATATTTTCCAACTACTGATCCTTCCTCTTTGCTCCCAACCTTTGCATTCCAATCACCAGTAATGATCAATACATCTTGATTGCATGTTTGATCAATCATTGAAGCAGCAGTCAAGAAATCAAACGACCTATTCCATTAGGCAAATCTGCTGTACAAGACCTTTTTAAAGTTGAAGAGCAAAGATGTCAGCTTGAGGATTAAGGTGCGCCTGACCCAAGCCATGGTATTTTCAATAACCGCATATGCATGCGAAAGCTGGACAGTGAATAAAGAAGACCATAGAAGAGTTGATGCTTTTGAGTTATGGTGTTGGAGGAAAATACTGAAAGTGCCATGGACTGCCGAAAGAACCTATAGATCCGTTTTGGAAGAAGTGCAGCCAGAGTGCTCCTTGGAGGCCAGGATGGTCAAACTTCGTCTCTCATACTTTGGACATATTGTCAGGAGGGACCAGTCCCTGGAGAAGGATATCATGTTTGGTAAGGTGGAGGGTCAGAGAAAAAGAGGAAGACCCCCAACTAGATGGATTGGCCAAGTGGCAGCATCGATGGACTTAAGTGTGGCAATAGTAGTGAGGTTGGCCCAGGATCGGGCAGTGTTTCGTTCTGCTGGGCATAGGGTCACTATGAGTCAGTACCGACTCGATGGCACTAACAACAACAATCTAGGGTTCCAAGGAGTGACTTGTGGGTTGAACTGCAGATGTTGCAGTTAAACTGCCCTTGTGGTCCAGTGTTTATCATAGGTTCTTAGTAAATATTTGCTAGGTGGATAAGTGAATAAAGCCTAAATGCAGCCAATGCAAAAGGATAATAATAAAATACAAGTTTGTCAGTCATATAGGATAGGTCAAGGTAAAGTTGTAGCCATTTTAAATTTAGTATTCCCGTATTTGTAAGAGTGAAAAATAATGTACCTGTTAGCTACATTAATACATTCCGTGTTAAATGTATGTATTAAGTAGATACAATAATATGGAATCCTTATGTGGCGCTATAGGATAGATACAGCACTTGACTGAAAGGTTGGTTTGAACCACAAAATCAGCGATTCAAATTCACTAGCTGCTCCTCAGAAACCCTATACAGGGTCACTGTTAGTTGGAACCCACTCCAAAGCACGTAACATCAACAACAGCAACAACAATTATAATATGTAGTTCATGGAGTAACGAGGACTGAATTTTCTAAAAAGGAATGGTGCTGGCATATGATGTTAAATGCTAATATACTGTTCCATGGACCTTTTTGGGAAAACGTATTTCTGAAATAGGTGCAGGGAGTGAACAGCCAGGCCACATGAGCCAGGCAGAGGAGGAGGTGCTTGGGCTGAGTGCTAAAGGATCTGTGGACAATTGACAGTGAGTGAGTAGGTCCTTAAGAGAGACAGCGGGATGATTGAAGCCCTTATTGATACCAGGGTAGATTCTCTGTTCTCATATGATGCAGATCTTCTAATGGTCCATTTACTTATCACAACAAAGGTGTTTAGAAGTTCTTAGTCCTTACGGAGTAGTAAAGTATTATAAAACAAGGATGGTACTAAGATTGGCAAATAGATATACTCTTCTGTGGTAAATTTGAAAACCAGGAAACAACAGCAAACCCCCCACCAAACCATTTATCAAAGGATTCTTTCTGTCTTATAATAACCCTATGGGCAGGATAGAACTGCCCCCCACAAGATTACCAAGGCCATAAATTTTTATTGAGCATACTGCCACACCTTTTTCTTACAAGCAGTGGTGTTGAGTGACGGTGAGCTGACCTTTTAGTTGTTGTTGTTAAGTGCCGTTGAGTTGAGTCTGACCCTTAGCGACCCTGTACAGGGTTTCTGAGGAGCAACTGGTGGGTTTGAACCACTGACCTTGCGGTCCAGTGCATTATCCTGCAGTGCCACATAAGGACTACTTTTAGTTAGTAGTCAACTATTTAACCGCTGCACTGCCAGGGCTCCTTGTGTTAAATTAAGTCTAATCAATTGATCCTGATTTCCTAGAATGCATGTTGAGAAAGATTCCAAGATCCCAGCTGGGATCACTAAAAAAACACAGTGATTGATCAAAAACAGGTTTTAGGTTCAGAGTGCCCATCTCAAGATTGTTTGTTGTGATGATTAAATGAATTAGTATATACAAAGTTCTTAGAACCAGGACTGATACAATGTAAATCATTTATATTAGCTATTGTTTGCTGTCATTTGTCAAATAAATAAGGTAGTGTAAATCCCTTCAGGGAGTCCAGTGTGTTTATTTATACTGTATGCTCTTTTATGTTGTAAACGCCTATGAAAGGAGGACAACTGTGATATACTCAGCTGTTTCCTAGAATATTTGGCACACAATACAACTTGATGAAAATTCAAGACTGCTTTAGACATACTGTTGAGTCTAGGGATAGCATGTCAGGATAAGAAGAAATGAAGTAAGTGGTAGATAAGCAACATAGGTTTATTTTTAATCATTTTACTCCAATGCATTATGAGATTGATGTGCAACAGCAAAATAGCAGCTGTATCATTTATATGTAGAACAAACATTAACTGTACACCTTCTTAGAGATCTTCTTGGTCTGGTTTAACACCTATCTTATAGGGTGTGCATAATAGGTTCAGTGATCTTTATCACATCATGGTTTTATTCTACAAATAATATCTCTGCAATCTTCCTAGGGGTTCATGTGGGATGTGGCTGAGGAACTGAAAGCTATGCTGGTGTTTGCTGAACATCGATACTATGGGGAGTCCCTACCCTTTGGTGCCAACTCATTCAAGGTGAGTGTACTTTGTATCTTTTATAAGTTTAAAGGTTTTCTTTTAGAATATAGAACATTTCTTTCTGCAGTATGAGAAAGAGTTGATAGCTTTAACTTGTTCTGCTTGAATTCTCAGTAAATTCTTACTGAGAGTAAGAAGAAATGCTTACTCTTACTTTTGCATGAGATTTGAACAGATTAAAGATTTTTTGAATGATAATATTTGCATTTCTATTGTAAATCACTTCTTGATATGACGATTTATCCAGTTCTTAATCCATGGCTGTAGAGATTGGCACTGTAGGATAAGCACAGGACCACAAGGTTGGTGGTTTAGACCCATCAGCCACTCCTATGAAACTCTATACAAACAAAGTCTTTGAGTAGGAACCAACTCGACAGCACTTAACAACAACACAGAGACAGGAAATAAAAGGTGCAGGGAACTTTTGGTTGTTTCAAAAAATGTCAGTATGTAATTCTGTTTTATATATTATACACTTAAATTATTATGTCCACCACTAGAAATACATGAGGATGAATCAAAAATTTTCCACACTCTGACTGTAGAATTTGAGTCAACTTTTAGAAAAGACAAATAGATCATTTTTGACATAATCTCCTTGCTTTTCAATACCATTTGCCCAACTGTAAACATGCTTTTGTATTCCCTTATTAAAAAATGTTTTAGGCTGAACTGTGAGCAATGAATGCACTGCTGTCTTCATCAGAAATGAATCTTTGTCCTCAAAGGGCTGCTTTGAGGAGACCAAACAGGTGAAAGTCCGATGGACCAAGGCTAATATTGGTGGATATTACTGATTTATTGCTGCATAACAAATTACCTCAAAACTTAGTGGCTTAAAGCAGCAAAAAACATTTACAACCTCAGAGTTTCTGTGGGTCAGGAATTAGAGCTAGCATAGATGGGTGCTTCTGTTTCAGGGGGAGTCTTGAGGTTAAAATATTGGCTGACACTGCAGTAATCTGAAGGCTTGATTGGAGCTGGAGGATCCACTTCCAAGGTGGCTTGCTCACCTAAGTGACAGACTAATGCTGGATGTTAACAAGAGGTCTTAGTTCCTCTCCTGGGTTTCTCTACAGGCCTACTTGAGCCATCCTCATGACATGGTACCAGCTTCCTCAAAGTTGGCAATACTGGAGAACAAGATGGAATCTACAATGTTTATATGACTTACCACTGGACATCACACGTTATCTCTTCTATCATGTCCTATTCATTAAAACGAAATCACTAAATCCAGCCTAAGGTCAAATGGAAGAAAATTAGGTTCCACCTTTTAATGGAAGGAGTGTCAAGAATTTGTCGACTTACTTTAAAGATAACTTATTAGTCTTTTATAGCTCAGCACATCTCTGTTTAAGCTTTTCCTGCCCAACACTACAGTAGGGAATTGTCCCTAGGCAGAGGCTAGATGATCATGGAACTTACTTTGGTGGATTTCTTTCCTGTGAGCAGTCAAATGTCATAAGCTGCCTCACAGCCAATGTCTGAAAATCGTTACTCCGTAGGATTTCTTCTCTTCAGTCTCCTTGTTGTTTATGGCAGATAGGCTAGTTTGTTTCAGGTTGTTAGTATGGGAGACATAATGTGCAATCTTTCTGATGATGAAGGATGAGTTATTTTTACTGATGATTTCATACCTCAGGTTTCCATAGAATTTAGTGCTTTGTTTTTCTGTTAGTACTTTTAAATGTATGAAAATTGGAAATAAAAGTATAATGTAGCATTTGTCTATTAAGCTTAGATTCCCTCCCCCCATCACATTATTGTTAAAATTATTTATGTTGGTTTTTACTGCTTTTACAGCTTTTAAGGTCTTAAGAAAATAGCATTTAGTGGAAACTACAGTTGAGTGCAAGATACATTGTGTTCTTAAAACCATCTTTTCATGAGCTGTTTAAATCAGCACTGTTACTGCTTTGACTGCACATATTAGCTCAATGGCCTAGAAATTCTATTTGGAGAAAAGCTTATCTGACTCTGGTCTTTTCTAGATCTATGCTATGCTAAGCTGCTATTATGTACACACTTCTACCCATGCTCTTTGTTATTTTTCTTTAGGATTCCAGACACTTGAATTTTCTGACATCAGAACAAGCTCTGGCCGATTTTGCAGAGTTAATCAAACACTTGAAACAAACAATCCCAGGAGCCGAAAATCAACCTGTCATTGCACTTGGGGGCTCTTATGGAGGCATGCTTTCAGCATGGTTCAGGATGAAATATCCTCATTTAGTAGTAGGGTAAGTGTGTTTTCATCAGACATGAGCACTTACTTCTTAATGAATGCCAAGGCAAGCTGAGAGATTCATTTTGGGTAAAATGCTTTTCATTCTTTTGTACAGAAATTTCTAGTTTCTGTCTCATTAATAGGTATAAGATTTTCTCTTCATTTTAATTTGATTTCAATTTCAGCTTTAAAAGTTGAGATAAGTGGGTTATAATTTTTTGTTTTCCTTTCTGTTTAGAGCTCTTGCAGCCTCTGCTCCTATCTGGCAGTTTGATAATTTGGTGCCATGTGGTATATTTATGGAGATTGTAACTAGAGATTTTAAGAAAAGTGGCCCAAACTGTTCAGAGAGCATCCGCAGATCCTGGAATTCCATTAATCGACTTGCAACTACAAGTAAGTTTTAGTCAGGAGGGTAGAATTATAGGTCCCCCATTTTCTTACCTTTCACTTGTTAAATTTGGCACTTTCTACATGTCAAGTGAAACTTTATTAACTATACATACAAAAAAGTACAAAAATCAGAAGATACAGCTTGATGAATTTGCACAAAGCAAATACATAGTGTAATCAATATGCAGATCATGAAAGAGAATATTGTCAGCATCTCAGAAATCCTCTCCTGCCTTTCCACTCACTCCCTTCATGTCTACCAGGGTTACTACTAGCCTCACTTCTAGAACCATAAGTTTATTTTGCCTGTTCTTGAATTTTTTTAGTAATTGAAATCATATAATATGTACAAATATATTTTATGTGTGCCATCTTTTGGTCAAGAGTCCTGGTGTGGCACTGTAGAATAAGTGCTGGACTGTTAACCTCAAGGTCAGCTGTTCAAACCCACCAGTTGCTCCTTGGAAACTCTATACAGTGTCTCTATGAGTTGGAACCAACCTGATGGCACTTAACAACAAGAACATTTTTTGGTCAGCACTATATTTGTTAGATTCATCCATTTGTTTTGTTTAGTTTACGTTTGTACATTCTCATTGCTCTATAGTGCTCCATAGGATAAACATGCTACCATTTGTTCCTAGTGTCCATTCCAATGGTGATGGACATTAGGACTATTTCAGGTTTGGGCCATTCTGCATAGTGCTACTGTGTTGTTGTTGTTAAGTGCCGTCCAGTCGATTCTGACCCATAGTGACGCTCTATAGGGTTTCTGAGGAGCAGCTGGTAAACTTGAACCACCGACCTTGCAGTTCAAATGACTTTGCAGTCTGACATATCAGACCACAGTGCCACACCACGTGTGTTCTCAAACATGGCTAGTTGAGTATATATCTATGAGTGGAAATTCTCAGCAAAGGATATGTGTATGTTGAGCTTTGGTGTAGATAATGCCAAATAGTTTTTCAAAATGATTTTCCCAAATTGCCTTCCCACCAACATTGTAAAACATTTTAGTTGCTTTATGTCCTAGCCAGTGCTAATAAGTCTTTTAATTTTATCTATTCTGGTGGATGTGTTGTGTGCCATTGAGTTGAGTAAAATTGCCCCGAAGACTTTCCAAGACCTTAATCTTTTATAGAAGCAAACAGTCACATATTTATTTCTTCTTAGCAAATGATCTATAAAGCTCTCTGTTGACTAGGCTTTTCAGAAGAATTAAATTCCAACAATATAATTTTATCCCCAGGCAGTAGTTTGCAGTGGCTCTCTGAGACCCTTCACTTGTGCAGCCCTTTAACAGATTTTCATGATGTCTGGATGTTGAAAGACTGGCTCTCTGAAACCTGGGTGAACCTGGCGATGGTGGATTACCCTTACGAGTGTAATTTTTTACAGCCTTTGCCTGCTTGGCCTATTAAGGTAACATGAAACCCATTCATCTTTTTAAGTAACATACTTTGCTTATAACACACACACCCATACACACACACACACACACACACACACACACACACACACACACCCTGCCCCATATGCATTCTCTAACTTCAGCATCAGATAAAGGCCCAGGCATGGGGTGTCTTGAATTAATCAAACCTGGGCTAGACTGTAGGGTTTGACCATTGTCTTGGCATTTGCCTAACTTTTCTCAGTTTCCTCATTTGAAAAATGGGTAAAATGCTTAAATTGCAATGTTGTATGGATTAGAATTAAGGATAATAGTTGCTGTTAATAACAATTACTGGATGTCAGGCTTTCTGCTATGCACTTTGTATGCATAATTGATTTACTCTTCATAGTCTATGTAAAATGCCTAGAGCTGTGTAATGCGTGGTCAGTGTGTGCAAAATGGTGGCTATTGTCATAATAATGTGATGTATCCAACTGCTAAAGCATACTAAGTGCTGTTCACAATGTGGAGGATTAATCCCCATACAGGACCTCCATTTACCAGTTAGTTCCTGTAATCTTGGACAAGGTGCTCTTCTTCTATGAGCTCCCATGTCATCTTCCTCTGCAGCATACGGTAACAGTACTTACATACCTCATAGGGTTGTGGTGAGGATCACATACAATTTTACATGTGAAAGTACTCTGGAAAGTGCAAAGAACTTTATGTTTTAAGGTTGTTTTCATGTCAGAGCGCTTCAGTGTGCATGCTCTTTCTAAATACTCATCTGAAGAGACCTTTACTCCTAGTTTCAAAACACAAAGTCTAGTCAACTGATGGTTAATAAGTTTAGAGAATGTAACTGACACTGCAACCAGCATGGGTGCTAGAAATGAAATAGAATTGGTGTCTCAGCGACCTCGCGCTGTTATCACAGAAATGCCACAATCTTTAACAAACAGAAATGTACTCTTTCATAGTTTAGGAGGCTAGAAGTCCCAATTCGGAGTGCCAGCTCTAGGGGAAGGCTTTCTCCTTCTGTCAGCTCTGGGAAAGGCCCTATCTCCTTTCAGTATCTGTAGGCCCAGCATTCCCTGGGAATCTCCATGTAGCTTAGCATCAGTCTTCCCCTGGATCAGGAAGCCTCACAGTGCAGGGACCCCAGGTCCAAAGGACACATTCTACTTTTTTGGTGGCAGTAGATCTTTTTCTCTGCTCACCTTTCTTTCTTTTAATCTGTGAACATAAAAGATGTTGCAAGCCACACCCCTGGGAAACTCCCTTATATTGGATCAGGGTTGTGATGGGATGAAAGGTATTTCAGCCCACCCCTAAAGATCTGATCACGTCATGGGGAATCATCACAGAACTGCCTGATTACATGGTTACATAACTGCCAAACCACCGAGAAGCATGAACCAGCCAAGTTGACCCACATATTGGGGGGACATGATTCAGTTCATGACAATACAAGAGCTAGGTTATAAGAGCAGTTTTCTTTTTTAACTTTTTTATTGTGAATTGAGTGAAGGTTTACAGAGAGATCATCAGTTTTACATTCAACAAATTATACACTTTGTTTCATCTTAATGACTGCAATCCCCTCCATGTAACAACAGCTATCCCGCTTCCTCCCTGTGCTTACCCATGTATAACTATCCTACAAGAACACTTTCAAGTTACCTGTCTCCTTGAGCTATTAAATGCATACCTTGCTTGAAACCTTGCAACCAAATGGGACAAGTCTATTTGTCATTAGAGTCATTGTTCATCATTTAAAAGGTGAAATGATCTGTGAGTGTCTTGCACAATGAAAGCTGGAGGAAGTGTATATTGAATTTTGAAAATATAAAGAGAATTCTTTCAAAGATTAAATTTTCTTCATATGAAAAAAACCTCGATGAAAATGAGACACAAAATCTAAATGTCCTTAAATGTCTTATCCTTATTAGCTTTATCCTTCTTTCATATCTATGATCTCATTTGTTCCTAATAAAAATACTATAGGGGAAAAGGTATAATATCAGTTATACAAAGAGGAAGTTAAGCTCAACTAAGAGATAGTAGAAGTGGGATTTGTATTTGGTCTTCCATTGTCTGGAGTCTGTGATCTTCTACTACATTGCACTGAATCAGGAGGAGACTTGACAGAAGATTTGGGTAGATCACTTCTCACAATTTGACAACCATCAGATTTAATTCTGTATTCTAACTGTGTACAAAGTGACAATTATTGCATCTTTATTCTCTTTTAGAGAACCACATGAATTGCCAGATGATAGAAGCATATGGTGAAGTCCCATATTACTTAGAACAAACTTTTTTCTGTAAAGGGCTAGATAGTAAATATTTTAGGCTTTGTGGGCCATACGGTCTTTGTTGCAGTTTCTCAACTATGCAGCTGTAATTTGAAAGCAGCCCTATATGCCACATAATCAAATGATTGGCTGCGTTTCAGTAATTCTTTATTTATAAAATAAGAAGTCGCTCAGATTTGGCCTGGGGCTGTAGTTTGTCACACCCTGATCTAGAAATACAGCTTTTTAGTTGGTTGATTTATCATGATTTGGACCAGTGAGCAGTGTTAACTTTAGTTTCTTCCCCAATTCTTTTTGAAGTATTTTACTGTTCTAAATATAAACAAATATTTTATTCTTTTTTTTTTTTTCTTAAATAATCACTCTAAAGCAGTATGGTATAGTTTATAACATGTTTTTGAGTTAGCACAATTCTACTTTTTTTAAATCTTTTGCATATAGTCATTTCAAAAGTGTATTTTCAAGACAAGATAATTTAGTGTCTGTTACAAAATCACCTGTTTTCTTCTACCCAGAACTAATTCTTGTTTTCTCTTCAGTTGCTTCCTATAGACTTTATCCTTTCTCTTAAAAAACTAAGGAATTCTTAATTGCTTATACTATACTTACGATTCCATTTCCTGCCTCCCCTTCACCAGAAATATTCAATCTTTGCCTCTTGCTTGAGGAACTTCCATTGCCTCTGTGTAGTTCCAAATTCAACCTATAGTTACACATCTGATTTTCAGTAATTTTCCACTAATGTCTCTCTTGCAAACTTTTAGCTTTGGATTACTTTCTTTCACTGTTCATTCTATTTCTCCTTTCTTGACCCCCTCTCTGTTCTCCCAACCCACTAATCCCTTGAACACTACCCAGTTGGGGACCGCTCTTTCACTTGGATAGTTCCATTTAACCAGAACTCCTCCTCCCTCTGATACACTTCCTCCTTTTTAAAGGGCTGACAAACAGTCGTCCTTTTCTGAGTCTGGGACTCAGGCTTAGGATGGTGAGATAATATATTGCAGTTGGGTTATGAAAAAGAGCAGGTGAATTCCAGTTCTGACTGGACCATGTACAATTCTGAAGGATCCAAAGGCAGTAACTAAATGCCATTTTCCATGTCAACTCAAGTATCGTTCTTTTTAATTTGTCTTTGGACTTTGCACATTCAGACTCCATTTGCTTTGTTTACTGTTAACAGAAGCTGCAACATTCATGCAGAAATAATCATGGACTTGGCTGATAGAATACAGAGAAGAGAAAAGGAAAATAGAAAACCCCTCTGTCATTTGACTGTTCTATCAGCATAAAAACTCATTCAATTCCAGGTCTCTTTTCACCTGAAAGAGCAGCTTTAAAGGATACTGTAGAGTTTGTTTATTTTGGAATCATTTTTAACTGATGACTCACCAACTCTGTTAGCTTAGCCTTTTGAGCATGCAGATAGATACAGTGAAATAATAAGACATAAGATGGAAAATCTCTTCCGTTTGTCTTGGTGTTTGGTAATATATGCGACCTCTTTGGGTGGTTTAAGCGGTTTAGGTGCATGCTATGAAAAGGGAGCTTTTAATGACAAAACTAATGTGATTATCTGAGTGAGTGTGAGAGGGGTATTGAAGCCTTAGAGAAAGAAAATCTGTTAGAAAAGCTGAATGTATCTGCTTAATCCTTTCTCTAATGTGGATGGGCCGTGCTTTCTGAGAGCAGATTGGTCTTTTTTTCTTTTTTGTAACCTGTCTTATTTCTATAAAACATTTTTGCCCCCTTCTTTTCCTTTCCCTTATACAAATGCTTATTGTTAGAAGCAGAGGCACTTAACGCTTTTAAACAAATCATTGTTTTTACTTTTCTCTGGTGTACATGGGGTCAAAGGGCAGAATCTAAATATTTGGGTAGAGATGATTAGCTTGATACTAAGACTGGAATGCTCTCTTTGCACTACCATTTCTAAACTCTTTAAAACCAGAATTATTAAAGAGAATTTCTAATGCTGTTTTAAAAATTGTCTTGGGAAATGGAAGGTGAGTGCAACCTGTCCATTTCAAGTATTCATCCTTGAGTCTTACATTACTCATTCTACTGTTTCACAACTTTCCTTTGACTGTGAATATTGAAGGTGAATATTGAAAGTACCATGGATTGACAAAAGAACAAACCAATCTGTGTTGGAAGAAGTATAGCCAGAATGCTCCTTGGAAGCCAGACTTTCGTCCCTCATACTTCAAACATATTATCAGGAGGGACCAGTCCCTGGAGAAGGATATCATGTTTGGTAAATTGGAGGGTTGGAGAAGAAGAGGAAGACCCCTAGCCAGATGGATTGGCACAGTAACTGCAGCAAAGGGCTTGGGTTTAGCAACAATTGTGAGGTTGGCGGGAGACGAGGCAGTGTTCTGTTCTGTTGTGCATAGGGTTGCTATGCGTGGGTGCTGACTCGATGGCACCTGACAACCACAAATGAGTAGTGTATAATAAAAATGTTTTAGGATTTTTATATTATTGAAGAATCCTTCTAAGTTTTTGGCTAAAACAAACTTAGAGAAATATAATCTAAGGATCAAAAACTATCTGTCTAAATAATTAAGCACGAGACCATAGGTTTATTTAAGCCTCCTTTCTGTTATATTTCTCTTACACTGCAACTGGCAAAACTGGATATGTGTGTGTAGTGGTTAAGATTGGAAAGCTCCTCCAGAGTCAGTCTGCATTTGAATCCTGGCTTTGCC